TTCAGTTTGCTGCAGGGGGCTCTTTGTCGTTGTTAACTCGGTCTTAAAAGCCCGGCGCGAGGGTTCACATTTAGCTTGGTGTCCCTAAAAATTACATCCTTATTGGATGTACCTTGCAATTTACGCCCAACGCTCAGCAGTGTGACTTAAAGGTAACACAGCAGAAATCTTTTCCTGTACTTCCATTCCACATTTTATCAGCCTAACCCCGTCCAGATGAATCGTTCAGGGTGGAGATGGGGTGAATATTGATGGCGCCGTCATGTCTGGATGTAAATAATGAAACTCGAGGCAGCAGCTTAGTTTAAGGCCTGCTTTAGCTCAAAGACTGTTTCTTGGCCAGGTCCATGTCATCTACATCTACAGATGGCCACCTCACAGTGACAGCAAGACTTGTTGTCCCACTCAGTTTCCAGCTTGGCTAAGAAGCTGCTGTTTCTAGTCTACTAGTTGGTTTATTTTAGTCATCTATTTTTACAGGGAAAGTGCACAATTAAAAGTAATTGCAACAGAATTTGCATCTGTTGTCCCTGGACAGGTAGAAGGAAAAGAAAACAACCACAGACCAATAACAACACTTCATAAAGCAAAACTTAAAAGTCCATCAGTGTGAGACAATATATCCAATTATTAAAATCAATGAATGCAGTCATTGGTGGTGACATTATGTACCAGCTTCAGCCAAACCTCGAGGCTAGTTTTAAACACCGCAGAGCTTCCTGAGTCTCCTGAATGTTTGTGGGGATGGAATTCTGCTTCATTGCTGCTTCAACTGATAAAAGCTGTCTTACTAAACTGAGATACGGCGTTATCAGTTCACTACAAACAAACCTGAGTGGTATCTGCTCGTCTCTACTCTTGATGAGAAAACAATTTTTCTCTAAATACCAAAACCCGGTCCGATCGATGGAGGCCCCACCTCACAACAACTAAAGGATCTGTTAACGTCTTGGTGCCTGAAACCACAGGACGACTTCAGAGGTCTGTGGAGTTCAGGCCTCGATGGGTCGGGATGCACATTTTGAGCAACTGTCTTAACCGACAATCAGCGGCCTTATGAGTCAGTAATCGCTATAACACGAGCTGAGTACAGTGAGTATAATATGTTGATTTATCAGTTTTTGATATTGGAAATGTACCACAAACTGGTAGTGCTGAGCAGCAGAATCACTGTCCTGCCAGACATCTGCTTAAATATAACACATGAGCTCCTGCTGGTGGGCATTAAATGCCCCACAAGACTTTGTCATGGTGCCTGATGCTAGCTAAACCCCCACAATGCTATGCTAACATAGAAACGACTGCTTCCTCTTGTCACTACACAATTAAACAGTAAGAAGCTCCACCTGGTGGCGCAACCAGGTACTACAGCTAATCAAAGATATATTTTCCGACTTTGATGGTTTTGGTCTCTTGTCTTATCAACTAAAATCATTTTGAGCTGCACAATATCAGGCAGGGGCCTGCAAGGTGGTTTGGTGGCTAGCACTGTTGCCTCGCGGCTAGAAGGTTGCCGGTTTGCGTCTCGGTGAGGACACCCGGGATCTTTCTGCGTGGAGTTTGCATGTTCTCCCTGTGCAGCGTGTGTTCTCTCTGGGTTCTCCAGATTCCTCCCACACAGTCCAAAAACATGTTGAGGTTAATTGGTGATTCTAAATTGTCTGTAGGTGTGAATGTGAGCGTGCTTGGTTGGTTGTCTGTCTCTAAGCTGGGATAGACTCCAGCCCCCCATGAACCAAGTGAGGATTAAGCGGTGTATAGAGGATGGATGGATGGACAGTATGAGGCAGGTGGTTTTAATATTGTGTATATTACAAACAAAAACACCACTGGAATCAGTTAAGTTTGGGACAAAAAACATAAAAGGATCAATTACAGCAGGCGCTAACTGCAAACAGATCAGACGTCCTCACGATGAGCCGAGCCACCTTACCACTAATCCCCCTGCCTCTGCTCTGCTGCTGCTTCCTGGTCAATAAAGGACAAGCGAGCAGAATGACCACAGACACTTATTAAGTTTGCGTTGTAAACATCCACAGTAGTAAAGGACAAACTCCTCCGGCGGTATCGCTGCCTGACAGGAGAGCGCAAAGTCAAACCTGAGAGGAAAATAAACTGAATTTACATAACTGTCAGAGGAGCATGTTTGATGGCGACGACAGGATCTCGTCTTCGCTGACACGAACGTCGCTTACAGAAGCTCACACGTCCTTGTTGAAATGAACTGAAATTGCCCTCTACCTCGTCGTCTGTTTCTCGCGCTCGCTGTGAAGATTTTGTCTGTTTTGGACGCGTGTTCTGGGTTCGTTTCATCTCTTGAATGATAACAGGTTTACAGCAACAGAAATAACACCCGGGGGAAATTAGGGGTTTGCGGTGGCTATCAGAGAGAAATTGAATGCGTGCGAGATTATTCTGATCCACTTCCTGCTGAAATGATGAGCGCCTTGAGTGGGAATCGCTGCCAATCAAAGCCACGCGCATCAAAGCGCCGCGCTCCCATCTAATTGGTGGACCAGGAGAAGAGAGGTTTGCATGATTTCTATCATGCTCACAAATGGACGTCCAATCTGGCGGCGGCTCTGCCTGTACGCCACCAATTACCTGAGGCCTTTCAGTGGGACTCCCGGTGATGAAACATGTGGGCCGGCCTCTATTTGTAGCGTTGCTGAGTTGCCATAATTGATCTCAGTGGGTTTTTACTAGTGACGACTCAACAGCACTTTTAATTAGACGCCGGGTTTGGCTCGTACCCTTCAAAACAGCCGTTTCAATCCAATTACTCCTTCATTTACGGCTGTGACGTTTTATTTCTGATGGAGAGAAGTTCCTGTCTGAACCCCTCACACAAGAAGTGGCAGCAGTTCCTTGATTTGCCCGGTGCGGGAATGTAAAGCGGCGCAACAGAACCAATGCATTTGTGCAGCAGGTTGTTCTGTTTTGGGGAACTCAAACGGGTCTCCGAGGGTCTGCTCGGTTCCTGCAGAGCCAAACGAACAGATGGAATGAAACTTGTTGAGAGAGAAAAGTTGTCTGAGTGTCGGCGCTGATGAAGACTTTGTGTTGAGCCTCTTTGGGCCACCTGGCTGATGGATCACGGCGAGCACATGGTGGGACTCGGGCCCACAAAGTGACGTTCTTATACAGCTAAACTGCATTCTTAGCTTTGGTTGTTACGTATCACCAACACATTTGACGTTGATTTTATCGCTTCACTGTTGCTCCGTTTTAGTCAACCAATCACAGACTGGTCGGTAGAAAGAAAATAGATTTCCTTTTTATTATTGCTACTTAAATTTGTGCATTTAGTTTCACTAACTCGGCTTCTAACACACACATTTTTTGTCAATCAAAATCCAAAGAATATGAATAATGCGAGTACGAAAACCGATGAACAGTAACCACGGAGGGTTTTGTTCGTTCCAGTTAAAGTGAGTAAAGTTCTTCTGCGCCGGGAGGCTTCAGCAGTGATGGAAGGAACAGCGTGCGTTCCGATATCTTTATTTAAAGAGGATTCAGCTCAATCTAGCCTGACAACTTTCACATGAATGTGGCGATTTTGGCTCTAAGTGTCATGCAGCTAATTTTGCACTCTTCACCTCCGTCGTAGGGATTCGTGGAGGTGAGAAGTTGCACAAATCTGCGCTCACGGCTGCCGACTGAGGAGGAAAAGTGTCGAAGAATCTGCAGCTTGTTTCACTTCCTCAACTTCAACTGGAAGAAAAGACGGAACGCTCAGCTCTCCGTACGGTAAGTGGAAGCTAGGACAGTTTTGCCAAACGTCCGTTACCAGCAGCTGATTTCTGACTTTATGTCCAGTCAGACTGAAGGTTAATGCTCATGATTCATTCAAAAAATGAGCTTTCTGCTGATTTTATTTTCTCCTAAAATCAACACCATAGAGACGATAATAGTGCAACGTTAGCATGAAATATGGCAGATTGAAATCTACTGAAATTATCCTTTTAAGTGATTTTATTACATTAATAGCACACAAAGTCCTACAAATGTGGATGTTTAAAGTGAAGTTTGAAGTTTAAAGTTTTGTGCAAAACCCAGTAGTTAACAATAAATACAGAGTTACTGACTCCAAACAGAGAGCACGCCATTTTATAAGTGAAAAATAAAAATGTAAAAATCACAAACTGACTCTCATTTAGGGAACCACCGCCCTGAAGTTTTGCAAATCATGTTTCCAGGGGGCTAATGCCTTTTTAAGAGAAGCCAACCTCCTTGTGGCCTCCCCGTAGTTTCACTCTGTTTCGAAGCACTGCTCCGCTTTATGGCTTCTCCTTTTTATTTTATTTTCCACAATCAGAGGAGTCGGTTCATGTTTCTGCATGTGAAAGAATCTGGACGATCTCAGCATTACTTAAGTAAATCTCTAATTTACTTATTTTTCATGTTTTTATCCTCTTTGCACTGCTGTGGGATCAATCATGTACGTCTTGCTCTAGCTTTTCTTTTCCTACAGTAAATTAAACAAACAGTTATATGTGTAAACCGTCAGATCTGAATGTGTTGCATGTTGATCTAAGTGGTGTTTCCCTCATTCGTGCTCCTGAAACTTTCATTAAGGAGCCTCGGTGGTAAAAGTTATTCTGGAGAACTACTAGTTTTCTGCTTTGACTTGCAGTAAACCACCAACTTTACCCTTTAGCACCATGTAAGATGAAACAAAAGCAGCAGAAAATGCAGCATTCTGTGTAAATACGTTGCTTGTTTTGATGTAAATCTAAGAGTTGCACCGCTACATATTCTTGTCACTGTCAAACTTAATGAAGTGTGGCACAAACTCAGCTGCTCAAAACTTTGTCTGATAAGCAGCGAGGTTTCAGCCTTGTGTTTGGCTGAGACGCATTTGTTCCGGTAAGATTTGCATTTACTGGAGAAACGTGTCCAGATGTTGACATCCAGACGCACCAGCAGCTACACCTGAGCAATCACCGCAACGGAGCCTGAAAGGAGCAACACAAAAGCAGATGTTGCTCTCGTCTCACCTGTCGTTCCTTCTGTCGGTTCGGACATCTCGCAGACGCTGATCACGAGCACCATTAGAAGTAGAGCTGCTTTGCTTCCGATCTGCGTGTATCGCTCACTCATCCTGGAAATAAAAAGAAAAGAAAGAAAAAAGAGAAGACAAGGCACAGAGGGGAGCGTTAACACCACTTGTTAATTATCTACAGCAGCATTTTTAGCCAATTTGAGGTGATGAAAGAACAAGAACACAACATCACACTTCGGTATATTTACATTTACCAGCTGACACCTTCTATTAGCGTCTCTGTAAGCTTCCACTTTGGTTTTTTTTCCCAGCGTGAGCCGTTGAAGGCTTCACGGCAGTAAGAGGTTCCACTAACTAGCTTAGCTTGTCTGGATGCGTGTTTGCTCTTATGAAGCAGAGATACAGGCTATTATCCTTCTTCTTGCCTTTCAAAACAAACTGCAGCTGTGAGAGCACCCTAAGATCTCTGTCTCCAAATCCTCTCCTGCCTCCAGTGGAGCTCCCCCCCACCACCACCACCACCACCACCACCACCGTGAGCAGAAGGTGAAGACCCTCCGCCGCCCCACCAGGCTTCAGTAAGCCTCTCCAGGATCTACGGCGGAGTGGAGAGCAGGCGGCCCCGCGGTGGCTAATCCGTCCCTCCGCAGTACCTTTTCCTCTGCACTGCCTCTCCCTAATGAAGTGTGGTGGAGCCGAGGCCACACTGCATAAACCATCTGGCACGGCGTGTTATCGCTGACAGACGACGATCACGTTTCAAACGGGGGGGGGGGATGCGGGAGCGGTACGGTAATTACTGGAAGAGGCCCGGTATCGTATGGCGGCGGCGTACAATGTTACAAGCTGCGTTTACGCCTTATTTACCGCCTCCCGCCTCTTATCTGCCTGCCGCATTGACATATAGATTGGCTAAACCTCACTGGGGAGCTCAGATTATTTGTGTAATTAAGTTTATTTTTGCAAAGCAAACATGACCTTTGTGGAGGTTTTGTTATACCTCCCGGTGTCGCACAGGAATTAGAACCCGGCGGTGTGGCAAAACAGCACCGACAGGACTCGCATGTTTAGCGCGTCCTCTGGAATTATAAATAGACGTCTGACACGGAGACACGATGACAACAGTTTCACACACAGACATCTGCGGTAGCTTATTTTGACATAATTAGAACAGTGCAGAGAGATAAAGGTGATAAACTTCAACAAAACCCTGTTAGAAATGGACTTTTTCAATCATGTATGTAACGGAAATATTCTCATGTGGATAAAGTGAGCAGGAAAAATCATGAAACCAGTCGTGGTCGTGACTTTTCGGCTGAGTTGGGTTGAACTGCAGGCGGTGTAGATCGTATAATAATTATTTTTATTCATCTTAATATTGTTTCGGTGTGGAGCAGGTACGCAAAGCATTTCACTGCACGTTATACTGCATATGACTGTGTTTGTGACCAATAAAGGCCTTGAATGCTTGAGAGCAGTATAGAAATAAAATAAAAATCTAAGTAGGAAACTATATTTATATAGTATGTAGAGCCACCTTTTTTTTTTCGTGTATCGGTAACTCATGTGGTCACATAATGATTCCAGGTTTTTAAAATTATTTTAACATCCATCCATTATCTATACACCGCTTAGTCCTCACTAGGGTCATGGGGGGCTGGAGTCTATCCCAGCTGACTCAGGGTGAAGGCAGGTTCACCTGGACAGGTAACCAGTCTA